CACGCATTTTGTACAATTTGTGTACATTTTTTATATCCAACAAGTGTTTTTTGCCTATTTTTTTTCTTGGTCAATGCCTACTAATGCCAGACCAAGAACACTCCTGTTCATCCGCCCTGAAACTTCTTCCGATACCTAAACTCAGCATTATCATTAACCACACTATGCCACTAACAGCTCCTACCACAGGACTGTAAAGGAAAGATTTCCTTGCCTTTAGCCTAGTCTAGGAAAGGCCACAAGCCCCAGGAGTTCTGGAATTCTTCCTCCTACCCAAAGGATGTACAATAGAATTACTCCCTCACAAACTACTCCAGGGAGCAGATTGCTGCTACAGATAGAGCAGCCAAAAGGGCAAGTATGGTAACTGTCTAAGGAGAAGAATTGAGTGCTGAATTGGGGAAACAGAAGTGGTGACTACGCTTTTGAAGAAACGCTGCTAAGAGTCCACAGGTTTGGAAAAAAAGTACTAATTTTTGTAGAAGGGTGTGAGAAGGAGAGAAAAAAGTCAGCCTGTCAATAAACTGAGGAGAGATTAAAGTGAAAGAGAAGCAGGAAGAGAAGGAGAATTGAAGATAACTGGATTAATTTTTAATTATAGGGAGAAGGAGAGAGAGCTGATCTTCATTGTTATCCTTCAGATCCCTCTTTAAAATTCTCCTTTGCCATGATGCCTACAAAAGGAAACTGGGGACACTGGGATGCAACTCCCATGAGCCCCAGGCGCCCCACTGGCTTCAGGGGACTACTGCAGGCTGGATCCAATCTCTTCACAGGCTGGATCTAGCAAGCCATAGGTTGTTGATCCCTGCTTGAGAAGATCTTTCATTTGGTATTTTGGTATAATGGCACCTAGTGGAAATACAAACTGCTTGCCTGAAAAAAAAATACTACTCTGTTTTCTTTCAGTTAGAATTTCTGTAGTGCTTCTACAATGTCCCTTTTGGTGTAAAAAGAATTATCAAGTGGACAGACAGCAGTGCTGAAATTCTGCAACCTATTCTGGATTCTGCATAAGAGAAATTGAAATTAGAAGAGGATGACAGGATCACAACACAATCTATGAAAGCTTCTGAAACACATTCATCCAATCCTTATGCACTCAAAACATTTACTACTCTTGTGCTGAGGTTATAGAAGTTCAAGATTCTTTAGTCAGCCATTTGCTATATTACCATTCTCTGATTTTAAAATTAGGGAGCTTCCCCTTTGGACAGAAATACTGTATTTCTTGCACATAGCACACCCCCAAATATAAACACACACCCTATCTTTGGAAGGCCACAAGAAGGAAAAAAAAAATCTTATTATGAGTAAGCACTAGAGATCTAATGTGTCCAGGGCTTGGGGCCCATGTGCCAGGACTTGATCCAGCACACTGACTCTGGGACTAATGTGGCAGGGCTAATATGGCATGCTGGCACAGGGGTTCAGCAGTGGAGCCATTAGCTGGCTCTGGAGCTCCATGCACTGTCCTGATCTGGTGTGTAGCTGGAGAGGGAAGCTCCCCAGGGGTTTGGACATTTGCAGCAGCAAGTGGGGAGGGAAGGAAGGAGCAGTGGCAGCATTAATTTCAGTGGCTCCCAGAGCCAAAACAGTTGGCCCTCTCCCCCAATTTTCTGGACTCATTGAGACCCTTTTCTTTGCACAATGTGCACTCCACTTTTCCCCAGCTGACTTAAGGGCAAGGGTGCAGTTTATATGCAGGAAAATATAGTAATACATTTCTTCCTTCACAAAAGCAAGGTTACATTCTCTTATGAGACTGTGTCTGACATTCCTCATTACTGGGATGATAACTTTTGCCAGAAACATATGAAGGCAAACTCTGAACCATAGTCATGCATGCAGAAATACCCATAACCCCCATCTCCTTGGCCTATGCCCTTCAGCACTGCCTTTAAATTAGGGAGCAGAATAGATAGCAGCAGAGATCACATTTTGAGTGAACATTTCTACATGTAACTTGCTTTTAAATTTATGGCAGGGCTCTCTCTCATCTCTTGAATTGCCTCTCAGGACTAATTTGTGTAGCAATTTTACTTTGTTTCTGATCAAATAGATGTTACTTAATTTCTGTGTCCAAAGATCATTCAATTTACAGACACCAAGAAGTCATCACAAAGAAGAACGAAGTATAGGAGACAGGTAGGCAAGGTTCTTTGAGTAGATGTGACATCTTTTATTAGACCAACTGAGTAGTTGGAATTAAGTTCTTAGCAAGCTTTCGGGCACAGTCACCCTTCTTCAGGCAACAGGAGTCTCTGCTATTCTGAGACTCCATGAAAAGAGAGAAGCTAGAAGTATGGCAGGATGTCAGTGAGAATGTAATGCTTCCTAATCAACAGCAATAAAATGTTTCCACCACAAGACATCATTCATTACCAAAAATCTTCCTACCAGAGGTACCCACACAACTAATGGAGGAGCTCCTACGTATGTTTCCTAAGACTGTTTAGATGAGAGGAATCTGTCTGACTGAGGTACTGAGGTAGAGTCACTACATTATACACTTAGTCTTGGTCTTTTGGGTGGTCTTCTTGCATCGTTACTAATATATACTGCAGTAGCATATAGAAAACCCATTCACGGACCCCAACCCTGTTACATAATACAAATACATGGAAGTAAGCAGTACAGTCATCTTCTCCCATTACCTTACCCTGTTAAGGAATTACTAGAAGGGAAGAGGGAGCCGCATTCAAAGAGCTGAGAGACTCTTCAAAGGGAGACAAATAAACACAATGGGGAGGGCAGTTTTGTCTGTATATATGACCTTTACCTACGCATTACAACATTATCTCTATGAAGAGACATATGTAACACTGATAAACTGTAACCTTCCAGAGCCTGGAAGAAAATGAACGATAAAATTAAAATGTATGGAAAAACTGATATTTATAATTACCTCTCTAATCTGCTTAATCCATGCTTCCCTTCCAAGGAACTCCTGATGCAGAACTGCAGGAGCAGAATTTAAACTGAAGGTCACAGAGTCAGTAGAATTTCCTTTAATAAATGGCTGAAGGTCCAGGTGTATCTAGAAGGGAGGATCAAAACATTTTTGTTGAATTAACAGAGCGCCCCAGGACCACATAGCCCATAAGCCAGTTCCAATTCCAAGTCACCGGCCCTATTCCTAAACTGTCGCCTGCAGTTTTGATGGATGTACTTCACCTCCATCCCCTGACTTCTACCTCCACAGTGGAGAGGAATGGGGTTGTTCAGAGGCTACAGAGACAAACAGACAAAAGGAGGGTTTGCTCCAGTGGGGAATGGGGCTGGAACAATTGGGAGTAGCTGGTGAAGACAGGGTTGTTGGTATAAGAAAGTGAGCAGTCATGGGAAGGATGCTGTGTTTCACAGCTGTGGATGGTAGAAGCATATATTCTGTTTTTCTGGAGCTGATGCAATATTTCATTTCTGACATACTGAATATTTTATAAACAGTGACTGCATAAAAATCAGATTGTTATACACACTGTTTACATCAGATAATTATGCATTAATTAATTTTAAAGCATTTGTAAAACATTAATGCTCTGTAACTACACTAGCGGTGTTTTACTGGTGTAGGATACCACCAGTAAATTTCCTTGGCAGTCTTCCATTAGTGTGAATGGTTATACCAGCAAAGCTTGCTTTTGACAGATGTAGTAAAACCACCCTCCTTGCCCAAGTGAAACAAACTCTTTTGCAACCCTGACCTGCCAGAAAAAGGTCAGTAGTGTAGTCTGGCCTGAGATAAAGAAGACCAAACAAAAGTGAGAATCAGAGACATTAGAGAAAATTCTCATGAACTGTTTCAGTATTTAAAATACTGAAAGGAGAAAGGGCATACCTTATGACTCATAGACATGTGCTTTCCATATTGAAATGCCATCTTCTGGATCTCTGCATCATGCTTTGCCAATTCCATTGCAGCCCTACAGCTCTTTGCCAGCAAGGCACTATGGGATAGGAAAATCTGTTCTGTCCAAGTTGATATTCCAATATCATCTGTAAAACGGGTCTCCTGAAAATGAAATTAAAGCTAAAATGAACAAGCTACAACTGTAACAGTATCAAATATAGGAAATTAGCAATGCAGCTAATATTATATGACTGCCAAACAGTCTGGACCTCAATAAACTACGTAAAACCAATCACTTCTGTAAGTAGTGCTCTTCACGGAAGCAATGGAAAACATAAGTGTTACAGCAAGTTTTACTTGCTGAAGCTGACACAGTTTTTCATTTCTAGCTCCCCCCAAAATAATTTCAGTGACATTTCTATAGGCCTGCCTCCAAATTGCTACACATTGAATCATACGAAAATAAGGCTGGAAAGGACCTCTGGAGGTCACATGGTCTGACCTTCTGCCTGAGGCAGGCTCATTCCTATCCCATGCAAATCCTTCTCTAATCTACTGCTAACAAACTAAACAAATCAACCCTGTCACACAACCACAAGGCATAGCACCTTAACACCACCAGTAAAGCAGGGGGACAATAGCAGTCAATGTCCTGCTACTGTGAGGGTTGTTAAAATATACTTGAGAGATCCAAGGAAAAGGAAAAGGTTCCCCCATATAGAGGAAAGTGAAAATCTCCACAAAATCCCCACTGACACAAACCCCTACAATCTGGCCATGCAATAAACTTCCTTTCTGACTAAATATGTGGTGGACTGGTGTGACCCTAAGAAGAGGGGCACGACCCTCTAACCAATAACCTCCAGATTTTAGTCCTGGCAGGAGCGTCAGCACTGGGGCACTGACTCTAGCCAACACTGAAACCTTCTGAGGAAGGCAGAAAAAACCTGACGTAGCAACAGAAGGGAGGGAAACATTTCTTTGCAGCTCCATGCTGACTCATATCAAGTACGTGATCCACCAAGACTCCTGGATCCTTTGCTACAGTGCTGCCACACAGCCAGTTTTCACCCGTTTTGTATTTGTTTTTGATGCTTCTTTTTAAGTAGTAGCACCCAAAGTTCATCCTGTTAGCTACAGTCCAACTTGCCAATCTATTACGATTCTTCTAAAATGCACACTTGTCCTTTGTGTTTGCAAGTCTTCCCAGTTTCACGTTGTTTAAACATTTGCTCGAGAAGCTTTCTATTCCAGCATTCAAATAGTTATTAAACAAAGCTGAACAGCACTGGACCCAGGACAGGCCCCTCTGGGACTGCACTTGAAATGTCCCACCATTCTGACATGGATCCATTTATAATTACTTTTTGTTTGTAGCTATTAGTCCAGTTGTCCATTCACCCTGTAACAGTGTTGTCTAGCATGCATTTCTTCAATTTGTTTATAAGAAGTTCATGTGGGGCTGTTACGCCTTGCTGAAGTCCTGATATACTATATCTACAGTATTCCTCCTTCACATCCACCAAAGTAAAGATTAGCACAATTTGTTTAAGGTAAATCCATGCTGGCTGCCTGAGATCGGCTTTTTCTCCTCCAGATGCTTGTAAATGGACCTCCTTATGATATACTCCAGTAATTTCTTGGGTAACATGGTAAGGCCAATTGAACTAGAATTCCCCAGGTCCACCTTGTTTTCTTTTTTTCTCCTAACGCAAAAACAGGCTCGCTATGTCCTCTGGTACCTCACCCATCTCCCACAACTTTGTAGAGATTATTGCCAAGGGCTCTGAGATCTCCTCTGCCAGTTCCTTTAGTACCCTAGATGAAGCTCATCAGGGCCTGCTTACCTGAATTAATTCAGAATATTATGAACATTAGTGGATATTATAATCATGCTTTCACTGAATTACTAGGAAAAATGTTTTTGGTATTTTCACTAAAACCTCACAGATGGATGCAAAAGACAACCTGGAAGTTTTAAATAAGCAGGCAGTGGTACTTGTAATGAGTGACATGTGAAGTTACTATATGATTACATTGAGTGCCACAGTACAATCTTTTCTATTATTAATATATAGAATATGCAAGTTATTTTTAAGAAAAACCTATTATTAATACATGGCATTTTAATGAGAAGACAGTATAACTATTTAAGAGATGCATCTGAATTGCTTCTTTCTTAAAAATAAGGAAGGTATGAAAACTTTTTCCCCCTCCTCTCTCTCAAAGGCATATCAAATATCAGAAATGTAGTCTGGTCTTCCGTGGAAGATTCTGATGGATTTTATTCTTGTGAACTTTACCGCCTTAAACAGAGTGAAGGATGCTAAACCTTTAACATAGGTTTCAATCTAGAAAGTTTATTAAATTATAATTTCGACTAACTAAAAAAATAGGAGTTTTAAGCAACTTGTCCAAAAATCAGTTTCCCTCTCAATTATTCAATTTTAACTCTCTTGGCTCATGCAGTATTATCATAATTTTTTCAGTCAGTCTTCAATGCTAGATAGAACCTGTATTTCTTTTAAATTACGTGCACACACACTTTAAAAGAAATACAAGTTCTATCTAGTACACACACACACACACAGCATTATACAGTATGTATACACACATTATATATAGAGTGTGTGTATATACACATATACATATATAGAATTTAAAAGAAATAATACAGGTTCTATCTAATGTTTGTGCGTATATATATTGCGCGCACACACACACATACACACAAATATAATTTTAAAAATATGCAACAGTCTTGCCTTTTTTATACACTGCAAAGGAATTTAAAAATGGCCTTGAACTTTTTAAAAAAATCCCTATGGAGGCACTCTTAATATAAAAGTCAGATACAAAAGGTAAGAATAAAATAAAGAAACAAAGATGATAAATGAATAGGCAGAGAGAAAGCTTCTAAACTTAAATACTGAACCTAATTTCTCAACGCATTTAATTCTGTAGCTCAGTTTGAGCCTAAATGTAAAATGAGAAAAAAAAATTAAAAAGCTAACAAGCCTCCTCCCCCCCCCCCCAAAGTTACTTCAATTAAATTAGTGAAAAATGAATAAGAACTAAATCTGTGTGACCCCATAATTTTCTAGCAAGGTATTATCTGTCATGAAATTGGTAGCAAACGAAATGAAATCCCTCCATTCAGCTCTAATCTTCCTCCCTTGTGGATACTGCCAGAGCGCTGCATTACAAGGGAGAAGATAATACGAGACTGATGGGAAAACTAGCAGAATTCCGCAATACCAAGTAACCAAACAATGTATCAAGATTCAATTGCTTTCAGACACACCATTAATTTATATGAGGAAGGGGAAAAGAATGGGAAAACCACATGTTTGCACTATATGTGATAACAATTTACCAAGTCAAGATTAAACTTTAGTTAGGTCTCATTTTACTATAATATTTGTGTTGTAATATCTTAGTTCATCTCTGAATACATACAAGTTTTCATGACTGGCAGAATGTCAAAAATGATGCACAAGCAGCTGTACTAGAAACTAAAAATGCTTAATCCTTTTTCACTCAAATATATTTAATTTTAAAAGAAATTTCCAAACAAGCTGTTGAAGGATGCTACTCTTAGTTTCTTTTACTTGGAAGCAACTTACTCAGAGAGTCACTTATTGATGTTTCCTGGATGATGAATGCATTTCTAATAGTGATTTTGTAATGACTTATTTTAACTCCCACTTGACTTGTCTTCATATTGGTCATATTGTAACTTCATGAAATCATTGTGTCCAAGTGCTTAAAACAAATGTAGTAACTTAAAAAGCTAGTTTTCCTGAATAACAAATATAAGACATGTCTTTTGGCCAAAACCTATATAACTTACCTATAAAAAACAAAACTTTACCAAAAATGTTACACAACTTTGGAATTTGTTTGAAAATCTAGGCATACGAAATACAAGTCAAACTTTTAGGTTGGAAAAGGCAGTGCAATGTTCTGATACTTTGAACACAGACACTGAAAATCTTCTTGTCACAGAAGGAAGCATGCTCTAAAGGGAAATGTCTGATTATATGTACCAGTATATGAACATGGGAGCTAAAATAGTGCAGGTACTAGTCAGAGAAGCCTTTTCCATTTTTTCCTATATACTTAAGATTTCGAAGATGGAAACAGACATTGTTTGATTTCTCATTTGTGCCACCTTAAACATTTTTAAGGCGGCACAAATGCTGAGGAAATAGGAGGCCTTACCCTTTGTTGGGATACAACAGAAAAATCAGTGACGGAACCAAAGATAGTAATAGACTCTGATGCTTTACTGCGGTGGATGTCTATCACCTCCTGGCATTTTATCAGCTCAGCCAGTTGGCTGAGTGAGGGAACAACTGGCAGTCTCCAAACGAATGGGCCAGAGTGGGGAAAGTGAAGAGATCATGTCACCCCTTTTTCTGCACCATCAAGGGTGGGACAAGGAGTGATGTGTGTTTTGACCAGTGAAGCAAATCAGGTGTGCCATGACCAGGGATCCTGGTTTTCTGTTTCCCACAGAAAAACAGAGAAAACCATGGATTTCCCATTTTTATCAGAGAAAACACAGATTTTCCCTTTTAGAAGAGAAACCCACGGATTTCCCCCTTTCTAAAAAGAGCTCTTCAGGCTGGCAGAGCCCCAGCCTCCGGGAGCTGTTTGCAAAAGGGGCGAGGAAGCCAGGGGGGAAGTGCAGGGCCTGACACACACACTTACCAGAAACTGCTTCAGGCTCACTCTTCTTGATAGAGGTCAATGGGGCTTGGGGGTTGTGGGGCAGGGCTGAGGGGGAAGCTGATTAGGGGCTGAGGGAGCAGGGAGGTTTGCAGCCAGCCAGGCACTCCAGCCTGGAGCGGGTTTGCAGCCTCCCTGCTCCCCGCCAGAGTGCTTGGCTGGCTGGAAACCCCCCCTGCTCCCGGCTAGCTGCAAACCTCTCCACTCCCTCAGCCCCCACCAGCTTTGGCACTCCCCAGCCAGACACGCCAGCTGGGAGGTGGGGTTTGCAGTTGGCCTGGAGCTGCGGGGTTTTCCAGCCAGCCAAGCACTCTGGCTGGAAGCAGGCAGGCTGCAAACCCCCTGCCAACTGGAGTGCCTGGCCAGATGCAACCCCTGGGTCACAAAAGCTGTGCTTCCCACCCCGCTGCCCTCTCCCAGGCTCTCCA